AAAGGTATTACTCTAAAACCACTAAGACATCAAATAGGACAAGTTTACGATGCATTGTTTAGTGTTTACCAACACACAGATATGGATACCTTTTTTTTTTTTTTTTTTTTATAGGAGAGGGGGCAAACGAGCATGCGGCTCACCTGATGGTAAGTGACTACCGCCGCCCATGAACAACCGCAACACCAGGGGAATTGCAGATGCGTTGCCGGCCTTTTAAAAAGGAGTAGGCTCTTTTCTTGAAGGTCCCTAAGTCGTATCGGTCCGGAAAAATCGCTGATGGTAATCGATTCCACAAGGAAGTCGTGCGAGGAAGAAAACATCTTCTAAATCGCACAGTGGTGGACCGCCAATCATCCAGATGGTGTGGATGGTATCGGGAGTTCTGCCGCGATGTGCGTTCATGAAATTTGGCGGCTGGGATTAATCCGAACAATTCCTCAGAGCACTCCCCATGGTAGATGCGAAAGAAAATGCAAAGAGATGCAACATCTCTTCGCAGTGCCAATGAATCGAGCCGATCGGAAAGGGCTCGGTCGTCGACGATTCGAGCCGCTCTGCGCTGGATGCGGTCAAGTGGAAGGAGCTGGCACTGGGGAGCCCCTGCCCAGAGATGGGAACAGTATTCCATGTGAGGCCGAACCTGCGCCTTGTAAAGTTGCAGGCGGTGTGCCGGCATGAAATACTGTCCCGCTCTGCTGAGCACGCCAAGCTTTTTAGAGGCCAATTTGGCCTTCTCTTCCAAGTGACCACGAAACTGCACGTCACTCGATATGTCGACTCCGAGGATACCGATACTGGCTGAGGCAAGAAGGGGAGTGCCTTGAAACTGAGGAGATACGACAAAGGGGTTCTTTTTAGCGGTAAACGCACAAACTTGTGTCTTCTGAGGATTAAACTGGACTAGATTTAGTCGCCCCCAATCCGAGACTTTGTCCAGCAAAGACTCGACTTCAGACACAAGTTTGTTCCGGTACTCGGCGACGTTTTCCCGAGAAATATTGGCCCGGCCGGTGTATAGAGCATCACCAGTGCTGTCATCCGCATAGCAATGAATGTTACCAGTTAGCAACATATCATTGATATGCAGAAGAAACAGCGTTGGTGATAGCACACAGCCTTGTGGAACACCAGCGTTAATAGGCTTGTAGTCAGAACATGCACCGTCTACAACGACCTTGATGCTCCGATCTGCAAGGAAGCTGGTGATCCAATTGCACAATTTCTCGGGAAGCCCATAGGAAGGGAGCTTCGAAAGAAGCGCTTTGTGCCAAACCCGATCGAAGGCCTTCGCAATGTCCAGACTAACGGCCAACGCCTCCCCCTTGGACTCTACTGCCTCCGCCCATCTATGGGTCAGGTAGACTAGAAGATCACCAGCTGATCGACCCCGACGAAAACCGTATTGGCGGTCACTGATCAGCTGGTGATCCTCAAGGTACCGGATGAGCTGGCAGTTAATAATGGATTCCATTATTTTGGAGAACAAGGAGGTGATCGCGATAGGCCTATAGTTGGACGGGTCTGAGCGGTCGCCTTTTTTAGGGATCGGGTGGACAAAAGCTGTCTTCCATGAGTTCGGGACAACGCCATGGGAGTAGGAGTACCGGAAAAGACGCGTTAGAACCGGTGCCAACTCCGGAGCACACGTCCTCAGCACAATTGGGGGGATTCCGTCAGGCCCACTCGACTTGTGGATGTCAAGGGAGAGGAGTGCTCTGCGAACCGAGCGCTGTGAGAATAGCACATCCGGCATAGAGCACTCACACCGCGGGATGGTCGGCGGTGTGTTCCCCCCGTCATCAACAGTCGAGTTGGACGCAAAAAGGGAGCCTAAAAGGTCGGCCTTCTCTTTTGCGTCGTGGGCCAGTGAGTCGTCCTCCCTGTGCAGAGATGGTAGTGATGGCTTACAGAAATTCCCTTGGACAGCCTTGGCGAGAGACCAGAATGCACGGGTTCCCGAAGGAAGGCGAACTAGTTTCTCGCCAATTCTGCCTATGTGCTCAGACTTTGCCTTGGCAATAACTCTTTTGAACCTCCACACGAGACGAAGCTTCGGGTTTATTGAACCAAATTAAACAGTTTAAATTTTTATGTTCTATTATAATTTGGTACGAAACTTTGATCCGCATTAACCCTCTTAGTAAATTAATGCAAAGTAAAGATTTTGATTTAGTTTCCGTCATTAAATTACTTAGAAATACAAAAGATTTCTTTGAAAACTCACGTACAGATGAGTATTTTACTCAAGTTCTTAAAGACGCCAAAGCCTTAGCTTCTGAAATCGATTGCGAGGGGTTAGACTTTGAAAATGTGGCTAGACCTCGTGCACGATCCAAGAAAAAGCAATTTACTTATGAGTGTGTTGACGAACCAATTAATGAGTCTCGTCAAAAATATAAAATTGAAGTATTTTTTCACATTATGGATACAGCCATAAACTCTTTAGAATTAAGATTTTCCCAGATTTCTGAACACAGTTAAACATTTTGCTTTTTTGTATAACATACATGCCCTAAAAGAACTCCCGAAAGATGTATTGTTAGAACAATGTATGTACGTGGTAGAGCCATGCTGCAGCTATATTAGTAGTATAGTTGTAGCAGGAATGGGTCGGCTCGACCAGGGAAGGACCACGCTCTCACAGAAAACCAGCGTAAAATAGCAGCTTAACGCTGCTGTGTTTCGTATGGTGAGTGTAGAGAACCGGAGACTCTTTTTACTGGCAAAGGGGCATTCCATCTAGGCATTAGGCATTAGTCCTCACGGGTGACAACGCATCTGCATATTGAGTCTTTATTGAGGATAGATGTAGATGTCTATGGGTCATAGTAACCACATACCATCAGGTGGACTGTGTGCTCGTTTGTCACCCTATCCTATAAAAAAAATTTTGTAGAACCTCGAGGCTATTTTAACTCATGAGAATTCAAGCAATATAAATACATTTGAACTTTGTGAAGAGTTGTCAGTCCTTTGTATGTTTTTAAATAGTAATTTATCTCCTCAAAATGTTTTGAAATTTGTAACAGAAGATTTGGTTCAATTGCGCTCAATAATAAAAAATTATCTGCGATCCACCATAACACAGTACAGATTATCTGGATTGGCTATGATTTCAATTGAACACAAGGTTTGCGACAGTTTAAATTTATCAGATATTATTAAAGATTTTGCAGAACAAAAAGTGCGAAGTAAATTACTATAATTACGAGGTAGGATTTATAATTCCCCGAAAAACTGTTTAATTTACACAATTTAATTATTTTAAAAAATTGACTGATTTGTTTTGTAGTAACATAATTGTTTTTTTTTATCAGTATTAAATTTTAAAACAAATCTTTTGCTGTGTCTTTTTTATACGTACCGTATGAACCTTAACTTAAATACATATGAACCGATTGACCATAATAAACACTTAAACAGCTTGGTCCTAATCTTTTTAAGTTCTGAAACGATTTTGATGAAAAATGTTTATTATTCCTTTAGTTAAAGGTCATCATACATAGGCAAGATTAGCCGAAGACAGGGAAAAATAGCACAAGGGAAAAGAGGCCCATACGCAGCAGTGAGTCGCAATAGCTTGATGATGATGATAAAGTTGAAAGGTACATAACTATGTCGATAAAAAGATATATCAATCCATTCAGTAGTTTCTGTGAAATATTTTAAAAGACATACACTGTAGATATACTTACTAACATAAAAACACTCATCAACTTTCGTATAGGTACTTCTTCAGAAGACCCAACAGACTGACGTGAATATTATAGGTAGGTATAATCCCAACAATATCACGTATTTTATGTAGGTACTTGTATACTTAACATCCCCCAACATAACTAGTTCAAGACTTATAATTATGGTTTGTGTATGTAAAGGGCGGCGAAAATTATCTTTGCCCTGAGCGGCTAAATAGCTAGATCGGGCTCTGCTACGTGAAAGTCATTGTGTTTGAGACTTTCTAAACGACGAATGATGCCTGACTTGACTGAACCGACTTCCTGATTTTAGTATACATTGCCAAACATTACGACATACTACTTCTACAGACAGGAAATGTGCTCAAAAGAAATTACTTGCAATACTTTCTTTACCTGGTTTGTCAAAGAAGTATATCACCAGTGCCTTGAAATTCAGTGAAAACAATTTCTAATATTTGTAAAACGATAACAGTGACGATTTTTCTCTTTACAATTTGCTACATTACAGTATGCACTCACTGCTTTTGCAGACATTTTTCTCTTTTTTGTAGACTTGCCTTACATCTTTCTGCAGTTAGATAGGTTCCGTACTCTGGTTCTGTACTTGGATGGCCATCATAGCCATACTGTACAAACACTTCGGCACTTCGATTTACCGACAGTTAACTTGGCACCACTTAAGGGACTGGCAGCGTCGGCAAAATTTCGACGAAATCAAAGGCTCGAAACAAATTGTTCGGGAGGCTAGAATTAGTCGAATTTGTTATTAGTGATCGATGGTTGTAGAGCTTTGTCATTTCGTATAATCTCACACGAAGTATTTTTGGCATACACCGTCACTTTAAATTCGTTTCTTTTGTACTTGCGGTTTCGTCCGATTGAGACGGCATAGATACATGATCTCGAACAATGGAGCAATTTTTTATATTTAACTCATTTTCGACTACTTGTATGAGGTTCGCCCTTTTGTAGCGTAAGCGACGAAATATTTGAAATGTACTTTCCACTTATTACCATTAAAGTATAATAAATAATAATATGTATATTACGTAATACACATTACTTTAATGCTTATTAGTACGAAGAATTTTTAGTTAACTATGTTTGTAGTTAAGAAAAATATTATATATCTACTTACCTAATTTTTTAGTAGAAATGCGAAGAGGCTATTAAAATAAACCAAATGACTTACTTACTAATAATTTTTATTTTGTAACTTTGCAGGTTTACATTTATTTATAATTTTGGTTCTATGTTAACAAAAACAATTGTATTTATATTATTCTTATTGTGATACTACTTTAAACTTATTTTCTTTATTACTGCTGCGAGTTCATCTTCATCGGAACTGGTCTCAGTCAAACCATAATAAGTTCCATATTTACGACATGTCGTAATGTACTTATTCCATAAAGGATCTGTGCTTAGAGACAATGGATTCCCTATCACGACAACTTTCGCTTTGGCCCGAGTCAGTGCCACATTAAATCGCTAAAATCATAAAAAAAACACATAAAAAACATTTGTTCAGTTTCGCACGCGGTAGATGTAAAACCTTCGAATGAAATGAAATATAAAACAAAAACATTTCACAGCAAATGATTTATTACATAAGATAAAAGTTTAATTTTACAGCAAATAAAAGTTACCATCCTTATTTTTAGACATGTAGAATATTTTCCTTCGACTAAAATTGCTCTGTCTAAGCACAACTTAAAGAGAGCTTAAAACTATGGTAATAGCGACGTCTAGACTTCTCTACGAATTCTATAGGTAAACTCATTTTATAGAACAAAAATTGATTGACTCTCAAGATGGTCCGTAAAATAGACACATGGCCTAAACACGACTAATCTCTATTTATACAAATTAATCGCCGTGTGTGTGTGTCGCTAAAACTCAAAACTGGCTCGACCGATTCTGATGACATTCTTTGCATGTCTTTTGAGTTGGTCCCTGGATGGTTTAGATTTTAGACTCACAATTGGACCCGCTAAGTAGAGCTGTTGTCCAACCATCCGTGCGAGGCGAATCGTAAGATATAAAATCGTGGATTTTTATGAATGGATATGGTAATGGTATGGATATGATAATTTTATTCAAAATAATTAATTTTATTTATTTGATAATAAATTTGTAAGACTACACTACACAGAGGAGATCGAGATATAGGAAACGCTTTATACTGAACTACCTGTTCCCCGCAGTATCACCCGCGCATGAAGCTAATACAAAGGGGAGACGGCATAAGCAACTGTGCACTGTGATTCTAAGTAGGTCCTGACGTCATCATAGTGGGCGTGGCTTTAGTTAGTATACTGTCAGCATTCGTCCTGTGCGCTTATGTGTTGAAAAAATCGCAAATCGGTGTATTTTCGTAGTATTAAGAAGAAAAGGATGAAGTGTTGCGTTTTATTGTGTAAAAACTACTCAGATAGACGCTCCGATGCTATGGATGGCATCACATTTCATTTGTAAGTAATTTTACACCTAAGTTATTAAAATAGTTCTAGAAAAATCTCTTTGCGTCGGCTTTCAAATATAATTAAATATATTCCACACTAGATGGCGACACTTTGTGTCCTGTGAACTAAAAATATAAAGGTACGTAGAGCTCAGTAATGATAAAATAATCATACGAAGGTGCTGAAATTTCTTTGCATTCAGACATAAAGAAATTTTAATCGCCAAAGTGTTATTTTTAAAGTTTATAACATTTTGTGAACATGCCGCCATCTACCGTCAAGGTAGCTAAGCTACATTGCAACATCGATATGGAAAGATTCGAGTAGTTTTACTATTTATCGGTAGATGTAGATAGTGTAGTGGGCGGGGCTTTGCATCCCCTCACCCCGCAAATTGTCACGCGTTGTTACATAGTGAAATTTAATTACAACGTCTCCTCTTTGTATTTGCTTCATGCACCCGCGTATATCACGCTCTGGGATGCGCGACATGACAGCTCCCTTATTCTTAGGCGTTCACTGTGTTTCTACCGGTTCTCATCGGGTGTTGAATTATTTTAATTTCTTAATATCTCTTAAACTATACGTCCAAACAACATGCTATGAAGAGCAATGTTTTCATGAAAATGTCTTGGTGATGAAGTATTTTTCGTTCGTAAGCATTAATATGCCATACCTAATAATAACGCTCATAAATCACTTTTTAATTTCAATATTTTTGTCAAAAATACCCTATTGTGGCTTATGTATAAGAAATAGGTCTATGACATCGCGGAATTTTTTTAGATGGAGAAAAGATCTATATTTTTGTAGAACATAGTATTTACATATCACTAACCATTACGCCAGTGCGCGCGGATAAAGCAGTTCGGGAGCGCTTTTTGTTCAGACTTGCTTAACAAAAATCAATATTTACGGCTAGCTGAGAGGTGTTGCCTAATGCTAGATAACCTACAAGAGGACTCTAAACTACGGCTCGCGGGCCAAATCCGGCCCGCCAGTGCCACCAATCCGGCCCGCGACAGCCAACGTCTTATTGTTGTTACTATTGCTGTGAAGTTGAAGAAAAAAACGTATATTGATAATTACTCGGCTTAATTTAATTGTAAGGTAAAACTTAACGACAGAACTGGTGACACAAAAAATTTAACTTAAGTATCTAAGCTTGAGCATATTGTTACGAGCTCGGGGTTCAGGACAATTAAAAACTACCGAGTGAATTACCAAAATTGACACTTTAATTACAGAACACTAATTACAACTCAAAACCACACTAATAAATAAACACAATTACTACTGTTCCTACTGATCACTTCAGTTCGCAGTTGTATCGCTTCGAAGCATTCGCTTGTATCGCCAATTCAATACTGACTCGGTCGTGGTCTATATCGGCCTTATATAGGGCCTCAGATACTTTCCAGAACCTTCTACTGTAGCGACATCTAGAATGTTCAAGTACATATCGGTCCCGAAATTTCTAGAAGGATCTTGACTCTCCTAGTTCTGCTATTCGACACTAGAGGGCGCTGGTGGTAACTAGTGTTGCCATGTACAAGACATTAATAGTGGCGCGCAACAATATTAATAAGTAACAAATAACTGAAATTAATAATAGTAATTGTGATTTTCCGCCGACAATAGTTTGTAGATGTGGATCAATTTTACTTTTACCAATTCTTAAAAAGGTTATAGATTCTCATCAGTTAATTTAGATCTGTAAACATTCTTTGTGTACTTCATCTTGGAAAACGTTTTCTCACACAAGTAAGTAGTACCAAAAACAGAAAACGACTCGTTAATAATTTATGCAAATTATCAAATTGTACCAGTGGAAGACTTTTGTTCTTAATCATCTCACTGCACTGTAAATCAATAATTTCCATTTGGACTTCTGGAGCTAGGGTCGAAATTAAAAGGATTTTGAAAAAGCGTAATTTCATTCACAATGACATCAAAGTCTGAAAAACGAGTATCATATTTTATCTTTATAGCACTCAAAGTTTCAATTGCAAAATCGACGGGAAATTCAGTCTCTGTATATTTCACATGTTATAAAATGTCAAACATTTTTACGTAATTGCGATTGAAATAGTATTATTTTCTGCCTGAAGGATTTGAAATTGGTGTATAAATAAGGGCGAAGCTGATTTTCTCCTTGCAATCTCAAATTCAGTTCGTTCATATAATTTGTCAAATCGACATAGAATGCTAACTTCCACAGCCATTCATTATTTTCTAAATCAGCAAAATGGCGATGCTTCTCATTCAAAAAATTTCGATCTCTGCTCGAAGTTCAAAAAGCGCTTAAGGACTTTTCTGCAACTAAGCCCCCGTACGACAGTATGATATAGTAAGTCATTTTCTCCAATCTCTTCAATAAACTGTTCAATAAATTGTCGGTGATTCAGCCCAGTGGATCTGATGAAGTTAACAATTGATATGTCAATGGTTTTAGAACTTTAGACATATCCAAACATTTTCCGCACAAGGACTGTTGATAAATGATACAATGTAAGAGTCATCATCATCATCATCATCATCATTACAGCTCTTCACAAGTCCACTGCTGAACATAGGCCTCCCCCAAGGAATGCCACAAAGCACGGTACTGAGCCACCTGCATCCATCGACTTCCTGCATGTCTTACCAGGTCGTCACTCCATCTAGTGGGGGGACGCCCTACACTTCGTCCGCCGGTACGAGGCCGCCACTCGAAAAACTTTTTTCCCCATCGGTTGTCGGTTCTTGGAGCTATATGGCCTGCCAATGCCACTTCAGCTTACTAATCCGTTGGGCTATGTTGGTCACTCTGGTTCTACTGCGGATATCCTCATTTCTAAGTTTATCACGCAGAGAAACTCCGAGCATAGCCCCCTACATAGCTCGCTGAGTGACCTTGACTTCCTCATCCGGCCAGCAGTGAAGGACCACGTCTCAGTTCCCTAAGTCATAACTGGCAACACGCACTGGTAGTACAGTCTCGTTTTTAAATTTTGAGGTATACCTGACGAGAAGATGTGCCGTAATTTCCCGAACGCTGCCCAAACGAGTTGAATCCGTCGATTGACCTCTTGGTCGAAGTTGGACTTAAAAAAAATAGTCCTTTTCGTCTTCACGGAGGATGACGAAGAGCTTCCAATGCAAGCTCTTGTAATTTGAACAACTCAACACTCTGTTGCGCAGTATAAAATCGCGCGTTGTCGTGCAGGAGCACCGGGTACGACCGATTGACCAAAGCTGGTTGGAGACGTGCGAGCTTCTCCATCATTGAGTTCAGTTCTTCACAGTACACATCTGCAGTAATGCTCATCCCATTTGGTAAGAAGCTGTGATGAATCACACCGGCGCTAGACCACCAAACAGTGACCATCATTTTTCTAGGGGTAAGTTTTCATTTAGGGCATTGTTTAGGAGCTGAACCAGGTCCAACTAACTTGCTGAGCACTTGCGAGTGTCAAACAGAATCTATTTTGCGTCGTAGGTAACAATGCGGTTCAAAATTCCTTCGTTTGTTACTTTGCCAATTTGACGCAAATGGACCAATATTGTTTTGATGCTAACGTCGAAAGCTGCTGCTAATTTAGCCGGCCGTAGATTGAGTATCATCACCTTCCACAATCGCCTTTAATTCTTCATTGTTGACCAAAGTTTTCGGACGACCACGAGGTTTCTTTTCAGGTCGAAATTTCCAGAACGGAAGGGGCAAACCAATAACAGGTGGTGCGTTCGTTTATAGTATTCGCTCCGTAAACGTTGTTTATGTTGCTTGCCGCTTGTGCCGCGTTGGTGCCACAACGGTACTCATATTTCATAATTACTCGAATTTTTAAATTATCCATGATAACGAAAGAGATTAAAATGCGATGAAAACAACGCTAATCAATAAACAAATGACTAATTTCGGAAAATGAATTTAATGTTTTAAAACAAAATTAATTTGAAACTATTATTCTTAGCCAAACAAAAATAATTATGATTTGAAATTGCCAGTACTGCAAAACGGCAACTTCAAAGGTAGAGAACTAT